AGACGAAATTTGAAATTTGTCGATGAAATTCGGTATAGCTTCCTATGAAATTCTAAAAATTAAGATGCTACTAACAGCAAAAAATCCTAGGAGGGGGATCAGGAAAATGCAAATTTTTTTCGCAAACTCCGAGTGCAAATTCTTTTTGATAAAATTTCATCATTTGGACCCAGCATCACCCTCCATGAGTTTCATCTGGGTCCCACACTCAGAAGTCGAGATTCAGCATACTGAAAAGTCCTGGATACGTCACTGGGCGTACGGCTTCTATGCACATAATGTCGAGTGTCTCTGTGTCTGGTACCGAGTGAAAGGTTAAAGTTTTGAGGTTGTACGTTAAAGAAAAAAATGCTGCCGTGCAGTATGCACGGGATTTCGCTAGTTGATAAATATTCGTAAAATATGAACAAGATCAAAATATTAAAACTTAACAAATCCCAGAATAACAATATTTATAAACTATTATTAATTATTTCTGTTCTATAACGCATATAAAATAATGAATTCATTTGAGAAAATAAACAAACCTGATTGAGTTCATCTGAACCGAGTACATTAATTTTTAATGATTTTGTAAGACCACATATAACAATATTACTGAAAAATAATTTAAATAAATACAAAAAATAGATATACATATAAAACAATTTCTATACCTTTCATTTATTCGTACATAGAAATATTGTGGATTAATATTCATTGGAATATCATAAACATCAAAAAACAGATCATTATAAATTTGTGTTTTAGGATTTTGATTCTTTTAAATAAAACAAAAAAATATAAATTTTATTCGTATTATTATTATTTGTTTTTGTTTTAATAAATTATTCTTACTTTATCATAAGTAACCATAATATGAAAAAATGAACTATCATTTGTATTTTCATCTGGATTATTTTCAGAAAAACCAAGTAAAAATTGATATGTCGAAAACCAAAGTACACTAATACATGGAGGAAATAATGAATTAACAGTAGTTGATGGATATTGTTTTTTTAATGTCATATTTGGGTCATATAATTCTAACGCACCATCATATTTAACAACAACAATTTGTTTTCCTTTTGGACTCCAACAAACTATAGTAAAAAAAAAAAAATATATATAATTAAATGAGAAAAGAAAAAAAACGAATTAAAATTAAAATTTCATATACTTGATGAATTATCATCATTTGAATCACATTTGCCTAACATTTTTAATTGTTTTAAATTTTGATCAATTTCAAATGTTGAAACCGATCCCTGTCCATCAATATATGCAAACATATTTGTTATAGCTGGATTCCATGTAAAATGTTGAATTGTATCACCAATAGAATCGCTTGATAACTTAATAGGTGCACAAATTGGTGTTGAATCCGGCTAAAATAAAATTCAATTGAAAATAAATATAAGAAAACAAAACAAAAAAAAATTTTAATTACAGTTTGAATTAATTGGACAACGTCATAGAACATAATATACCATAAATGTGTATCTAATTCTGAAAGAACTATAGCAATAATTGAATCATCTGCATTTAATGATATCCAATATGGAATAATAAAAGAATTTTTATTCATCATTTGTATAGGCATATATGATCGACGTATAATAGAATTTTTTCCAAGATTATGATTTTCATCATTATTATTATCATCATTATCATCATCAGATGATTTACTTAAATAAGATGATTCATGATCAATATATTTTGATGATATTATAGCAAGACCATCATTTTCCGTTGCATAAAATATATAACCATAACGATTTGATGAAGCAAGTAAATTAATCATTTGATTTGGTGTACATACATTATCTTGTTGGCCTGTAATTGATAATGATTTACCACTTTTAAAACTAGCAACTGTATCCTAAGGTTAAGAACAAAAAAAAAACAATAAATAGATTATTATTTTTAAATCTCAATTTAATTTCAGATAAAAAAACGAAATATATTCACTTCTTATTAGACTTTGATTCTTTACATTCTCAATAAGTTCGTGTAATAGAAGCCTACATAAAAATGTTGACTTTTTTCTGTTGATTATAAATTAATTAGAAAGTCATTAGCAAGTATAACCTAATGACAAAAAAAAGCAATCTAAAAAACTTCAGGATAGACCAGTGGCGTACGCAGAAATTTTTCAAGGGGGGCCCAACATCGTAAGGGGGGGCCCGCCATGGCACAAAAAAATTTTTATCACGCGAAAATATTTTTTCCTGTACCCCCCTTCAGGACTTTTTCGTCTCAAGGGGGGGGGGGGGGGGGGGGGGGCGCGCCGTCTACACAAAAAAAATTTTTTAACCCGCAAATTTTTTTTCCCCCCTCCCCCCCCTGGGTCTTTTGGGCGTGGGGGGGGGGGGGGGGGGGGGGGGCGGGTCCCCTCGCCCCCCTTCCCCTGCGTACGCCACTGGGATAGACTTTACGGCATGAGTCGTATTCATTGTGAAATTTTCAACAAAGATGGAACTCGAAAAGAAAATCAGTTTTCTCGTATTTTTGCTTGAATATTCCTATTCCGCTATGTCAATAACGAAAAGTAAGGATGTGAATGTGCGTGTTTCCTTCACCTGACATCGATACCCAAAAGGATTGAAGGATCTAAAATAGTCTAACAACTTTACAAGTAAAACCACATACATTTGATATCTCGTCTCAAATCGGAGTTGTTTTTTTTTTTAAATTAAAATGCATGATGTGTAAAACAGAATAAAATACTCTAGTAAGACTTTATATTATCAAAAGTAAAATTCCGAGTTTTCGAAAAAAGATACATTATATTTTATTGTGTTTGTAATCAGAAACAAAGCAAATGATAAACGCAGGTCTCGAAACATGAAGTAAGCAAGTCCGAACTTTTTTAGTTTTGTTAAATGTCGTCAAGACCTATTGATGGCTCAAATCTGAAGTTACAAAATTCGTTAAGTTTATTATAGTTAAGGACCTGTATAGTAGTGCGAAATCTAACTTCAACTCCAATGAAATCGAATTTTGAAGTCAAAAAGTTTGTTAACCGGACTTTGTGTTACAAGGTTTCATTGTACAATATATGTGCTTAAAGAAAAATAGTCAAGAAATACTATAGTTCAACGAAAAGATTTGGCGCACTTGCAAAGTTTTCTCTACAAATATATCGAAGGAAAAAGTCCTTAGAGATATATCAAACATACGTTATTTCATCCAAGACTCTCATTTAATTATCAAGATCTGAAACGATTTTCATGCAAAAGACTCCTCTGCCCAAGCAGACAAACTTTTGGGAAAACGCGTTTAAACGCACAAAAATTGACCTAAAATCAGCAAAAAGTGGGCGTGTTTTTGGTTCACACTTGAGATTCCCGACTGTGAGCCAAAAACGCCCATTTTTCGCCCTTTTTGTGCGTTTAAACGCGTTTACTCAAAAGTTTATCTGCCTGGGTAGTATGTCTAGAAGAGTCCAAAGTCTAATGCTTAGGCCACTTACACCCGGAAAACTAAAGACTTCGAGAATAGAAATAGAATATTCACTCCCAGATGTCGAAGCCAACTATTTGCCAGAAACCTACTGCAACCGAGCATTTGTATCCGTAACTTAGGATAATCATGAAAAATCTTTTATGAATTTTGTTAATCTTTGAATATTTTTTGAAATTACAGTATTTCTTCACATTCTCTCAATATTAATTAGTGATGCGTAAATATATTATGAAATAAAATCTTGCAAAGATTTTATCCATGTGATGTATTATCCTAATATTAAAAAGTTTGACTACAAAGTTCTTTAATTATGATAGATCATCTCAACAGAATTAGCCGAACAATTTTGACATAGATCAATACTATTCACATATGAGAATTCGAAAAAAATTAATCAAATTGAATAAATACCATATCTTTTTCTTGTGCTTCTTCCATGATATATGTTTATATTCTTTTTAATTCTGATCTAAAATCTAAATATATAAAATAAAAAAACAAACAAACAAAAAGAAAGAAATGACCAAACGTTTTTATTTGACCAGTTTGGAGATGATTTCATCATATATCAATCATTCAACGTTTTTCAAGATATAAAAAGCTGACAATAGCGCAAAAAAAAAAGAAAAGAAAAGAATGAGATTGATGAAAAACCAAAACTATACACAAAAAAAGAAAAAAGAATGTCATGGATACCGATTTAATTGTTTTTTTATTTTCATTCACTGTGTTCATGTTTTGGTATTGTTAATGTCATTGTTGGTTGTTGTAATGTTGGTGCTTTACCAAATGGTTTAATATTTGCAGCAGCTTTTCCTTCATAATGCATTATTATATCTTGATCAAATGGACATGATTCTTGGAATGCTTTTGTTTGATAACAACGTTCCATATATGACCATAAGGCATGAAATTCAATTGGTATATCTAAATTTTTATAATATTTTCCTGCAACACGTATATGTTGTAATTTTGGCATAATGTCACAATCAACAAATGTCATTTCATTTCCCGATAAAAATTTTGTACCCATTTCTTCAATATAATCATTTATACGTTTTAATTCACTTAATAATGAACGTAATTTAAATTGTTCTTGAGGATCACCTGTTGGTGATTTTAAATATGGATGAAATTTAATATAAATATTTGAACAAACATCTTCAGCTTCTTTTAATGAACTCATATTTGTAACAGGAAAACGTTTACTTATTTCAGCATCAATATCACGATTATCAGTTAGAACAACTTGTGATGTTTTATCATTTGTTTCATCAAATACAACAACAGGTGGATTTGAATTATAAGCTTTTTTAAATTCTTGTTCGGGATTTTTCATATTTACTGGATAGACCTAAAAACAATATATCGTACAATAGTTTTATTAAAATTTCTTTTTTATACAAAAGAAAAAAAACCTAACGAAACGAACAACATACGGTTAATGCAAGTTCTTTAGCTTCTGATTTCAGATATAAAACCATAAACCATCGTTGACATATTGGACTTGGTGAACGATGAGAAAAATCAATTTCCGATCGCTAAAATAAATATTTATTTATTTATTTACATTATTATTAATAGAAACTTTACCGTAACAAATAATGCTACGGATGGTACATGAGGATTGATAGACTCCATTTAGAAAAAGAAAAAAGAAAATAAAATATAGATGATCTAAAAAAAGTAGAAATCAAAAAAAAAGTTCTATGTTTTCTTCATCAGACAAAGCAAGAACAAGCGTCCGTTAAAAAAAAAAAAGAAGATAAATCCATAAATAAAGTTCATCGTGTGTAGACGGTAAATATCGATTGACGTTCGCTTCTCATGTAAGATTATTCGGTTTTTTTTCTTCTTCTTCTTCTTCTTTCATTCTATTGCTCAATTAACTTACCTGTTGAGAATGTTATTACTAACAAACAATGAACATATTCATAGTAAAAATTATTTCGTTTTTAAATAAGCACGTTTTTGAACTTATTCATAAAGAATATAATTAGAATACATGTCTATTATGTAATAATAAAAATGTTTTTCATTATGGCACGTATATTAAAATTGCTTAATCCTACATATGTAATGTGGGAATTTCTTTGTCTTTTGAAATGTCAATGACAAAAGTTTTTGAAATTCTAAAATATAAACAAATGACTTGTGTTTAAGCTATGACAAAAAAAAATAAAACAATCTTATTGGTAAAATATTGTAAACAGAGAATAGATATATAGATATGTACATATAACAGAGAAAGAGAGAAGTTAAATTACTTATGTGACTCAGAAATATAAGCACCTTGCATTTTATATTTGGAATGAGACAAATAATCCAATAAGAAAATAGAGAGTATAGAAGGCGCTAGTTATTCATTGTGAGATTTAGGTTTTTTTTTCGTCGGATGCAATGTTATAGTATAATTTTTTCTAGAATTTAAAAGTTTTATTTTGAAAATTATTTGATCTTCAACTAAATAATCGATCAATTTGTTTCCTATATATAATTATTTATTTTCATTAACTTAATATAAAAATTCTATTTGCAAAAAACAAAATTAATAACTTTTGTCTTACTTGTAAATTCTAAATTTTTGTTTATTAATATAAAATGTCACTATTAAATTTGAATGAGAGTATCTTCTTATACTGACAAATAAATATTTTTTTGCCTATTAAATGAATAGATTAATCACTACTATTGCACATAAATATTAGCAATTATTCGGAACGAATAAAATGTCTGAAAAATCATTTGATGAATACTGCTGAGAAAATGACGACTTGTTTTTTTTCTCGAAATTCAAAGAACGAACAACCACAGTATTGCGTTGGTTGATAAGAAAAACTGGTTATAGATATTTCACTCATTTATTTACAATATGATTCGGCAATGATTATACATACATGAATTTAATCTTAAGAGTAATTCCTATTTTTCCTCACTCAAAATTTTTGTTTGTTTTTTTTTATGAAAAAAATATGCAGAAACGTTCTTATTACTGCGGTATGGGACGTATGATTGACCTGAAACTTGTTTCCTATATACTAGACACTGCTTAGGATGGGGATTTTTTTCNAATAATCCAATAAGAAAATAGAGAGTATAGAAGGCGCTAGTTATTCATTGTGAGATTTAGGTTTTTTTTTCGTCGGATGCAATGTTATAGTATAATTTTTTCTAGAATTTAAAAGTTTTATTTTGAAAATTATTTGATCTTCAACTAAATAATCGATTAACTTGTTTCCTATATATAATTATTTATTTTCATTAACTTAATATAAAAATTCTATTTACAAAAAACAAAATTAATAACTTTTGTCTTATTTGTAAATTCTAAATTTTTGTTTATTAATATAAAATGTCACTATTAAATTTGAATAGAGAATCTTCTTATACTGACAAATAAATATTTTTTTGCCTATTAAATGAATAGATTAATCACTACTATTGCACATAAGTATTAGCAATTATTCGGAATGAATAAAATGTCTGAAAAAATCATTTGATGAATACTGCTGAGAAAATGACGACTTTTTTTTTTTTTCTCGAAATTGAAAGAACGAACAACCACAGTATTGCGTTGGTTGATAAGAAAAACTCGTTATAGATATTTCACTCATTTATTTACAATATGATTCAGCAATAATTATACATACATGAATTTAATCTTACGAGTAATTCCTATTTTTCCTCACTCAAAATTTTTGTTTGTTTTTTTTTTATGAAAAAAATATGCAGAAACGTTCTTATTACTGCGGTATGGGACGTATGATTGACCTGAAACTTGTTTCCTATATACTAGACACTGCTTAGGATGGGGATTTTTTTCGTCGTTTCAAAAAATTTTGTTCTGCGGGTTTTTAGAAGCTTTTACTAAAAAACGATGCGTTTTTAGAATATCTTCCATATTTTAGTTTTTTTATTCGAAGGACAAAAAAAGAAACTAAAAACATTACTCACTCTAACTAATGTGTAGTATCTGTAAAAATTTTTTTTAGCTCAATCAAACGTAGCATCTTGGAGAAATAGAAACAAAAATTGGGATCATTTTTTGTTATTATGGTCGCAGTATCTTCTAGAAGAAAACATCCGGAAATTTCGTGTCTGTGACAAATTTTACTGTACTCATTAAGATCTATCTGCCCTGGAAATTTCAAATTTTTTTCTGGTGAACTGTTCATCGGAAACCTTGAAAAAAGGAAGAGGGTGTTCTTAAAGAAAAATATTTATTTTTTAATAAGGTAACGTTTGAGATTATATAGTCTTTATCTTAGTAATAAAATAATCAGCTCATTCATACAATCGTAAAGATTTCATTTCGATTCTATAGATAACGATGATAAAAGTCGTCCATAGAGATTATATTCTAAGTAAATGTTAATAAGCAATTTTAATTTTAAGGATTATTCGGTTATGATCTAACTTCTAGCATAACTTTTTAAGATAATGAATGAAGTGAAAAGAAAGTTTAATCTATAATTTGTGAGTGGATTTTCTAGAAAAAAAATTAATGTTAGAATATAAAATTAATAAATTTATTTGTTTTAAAAATCTAGTTCAGAAGAAAAAAATTTAGACAAGTTTTAATCGATTATTATTCAATATTAAACGTTGAACAATAATATTTCGTGTTGGATTTTCATGATCAATACATTGTAATAATTTTTTACGTATTGTTTCAACAGCTTCTTGAACAGAATTAGTAACAAATCGTTTTGCTGTTGTTTGAGCTATTGAATTCCATTTTGTTGTTTTATTTTGAAAAATTAATTCCAATTTTTTATAAATTTTTTCATTTATTTGACGTTGTGCATCCTCTGATGTAATATTCTCAATCGCAAGTTCACGAATTTGTTTATTATTTAAAGAAGGATAAAAAGCAAAAACCGCCAATCGTTGGTATTCTAACTAGATAAATAGAAATAATTTATTTATATACAAAAAGAAAATTAAATAAAAAAAAAAAAAAAGATACTCATACAAAATAATTCTTTGATATTGTACCAATACATTCCGCAATAAGAATTTCCATATAATTTTTAAATTCATCATCCAAAATATTTATTGAATTATTATTAAGTAGATTTACGTTGAAGAGATTTGTAATATAATGATGATGTTGATCACTCATGATTTGAAATTATTTGTTGTTATTGTTATCTTTATGTTTTTATTTTTTTTTATTTTGTACAATAAAAAAGAAAAGTAAGATTGAGAGAAGAAGACGAAAAGAAAAAAAACACTAACAGAAAAAGAAATGAGATAAAGTCTATTGTTTAGTCGATACATTTGTATTGATATTTGTTGATGATGTTTCAAGAAATTTTTGTCCTAAATCATGTAATATATTAAATGAATCAATTTGTAATTGCATTTTATTTAATAAAAATTGATATTGAATTGGATCAACAGGTCGACCAATATGTGGTGAGATTTGTACTGGTTGATGACCAGAATGTGCACTTGCTTCAGCAACTATTTGTGCTGATGGCATAAAACGACGAAAATTATTTTGTATTGATGAATAATCTTGTAACATACGCTAAAATATCACAACAACAACAAAAAACAATCAATTTGAAAGAAAAAAATTATTTTTAACATACTAAATTTGATTCAAGTAAATCAAGAGCAACAAGTAAAGCTTCATAACGTCGTACAAGATTCTGAGAAGTTTGTGCAAGAAGATCAGGTGTTTGTGAACTAAAGAAATAAAATAATTTATCAAGATTTTATTGTTCTTTTTTCTTGGTCTGATAAGAATTACTTCAATCGTGTATCATCCATTTGTAGTATAGATGAATATTCATGTAGAAATGTCTAAAAAATAAATTTAATGAAAATTTATTTCAAAAAACAAACCATCATTTTTATTTACTATTTACTTTAAGATTATTATCAAAATTACTAAATGATCGTTTAACTTTAATTGCTAAATCATCCTGTTGTTGAGCCGGATGAGGCGGTTGAGTTTGTTGTTGTTGAGGTGGTGGTGGTGGTGGTTGTTGCTGCTGTGTTTGTGGCTGTTGTATAACTCCTTGAGGTGGCATAATACCATGCATCATAGGTTGTCCATAACCAGAAGCTGTCATCATTGGTTGTTGAGGCTAAATAAAAAAAAAGAAAGTCTCGTTTTTATGATAGAAATTGTCTAGCAGTAGTAAAAATAATAACAAAGATAAGTTTGTTTTCAAAAGAAACAAAAAAACAATAAAACGTATATAGTGAAATAAATAAATATTGCAATGAAAATATTTTTTTATGCCCATAAACAAAAATAATAAGATTTTCTTTATTGTGGATAATGTCAACTTGATCTATTAGGTCTTGTTGTGGTCAACGAATCGTATGCCATTTAATTTGCTCTTTTCTTTTTTTTTACAAGATTATGATAAAAAAATTTCGATTAGATTTTAACAGAAAACAAAATAGACAATTTCATTACCGATGGATGACCATAATGAACTTGATTTGGTGAAGGACCGGTTTGTTGAACATATTGTGATGGTGAAGCAACAGCAACATTATATGGTGGTACAGTTTGTGGACTTGGCATATGACCTGGCATACCTGATGGTGGATAAACACCCACCGAAGACAATGGTTGTCCTTGAGATGTTGTAGGAGGTCCTGGATAGCGACTCATCTAGAATATATTGATTTGAATCTTTCTTCTTTAAAACTGTAAGTAAGTGCCAAGATTCTTTGAAACTAATATTAGCAATGAACAATCATTGTTTATTTCATTTCGTCAGTTTTTTTATTCAAAAAAAAAAAGAGAAAAAACTTCTCATCATGTCAATAAAGTTTTCTTTTTTTTTTTTTTCTTCATTAGCATTGTCTTCATCGTTGAAGTACAAGGGTTTACATGTTCAACACAATAGATTCTGGTTGAAATCCACAGAGAGCGAGAGAAAAGTAATAGAAAAATAAGGATGAAAACAAAAAAAAAATGAAGTAGGATTTTAGACATGCTTGTGTAGTAATAATAGTAAAAAACAAAAAAAAACAAAGAAGTGAAGGCAAGAATACAACAAGAGTTCATTCATTCATGAAGAAAACAAAAAGCAACACCCAACCTAAACCATGAGAGTGAATAAATGAGAAAAAAAAAACTGTTCAAACAAATGGGGAGTGTGCTATTTTAAATACAAAGACAACGAATAGATGTAAATACAAACAAAAGACCGAAGCAGGATGCACGGAAGAAAGAAGTGATAAAGGTCATGGTGAGTACCTTCTTGTTTTTTTTTTTTTTTTTTTTTTTTTCTTGTAAACAAAAACCTGAGGTGCAAGAAGACGATTGTTTTTAAACCAAACATACATAGAAAACTAAACTAAACAGTAAAGAAAGATGATTTGGTTTGGTTTTTTCCCAAAAAACAAAAAATCGTATATGTCGAAATAAACTACTATTCATGATGCAAGAAGAACAGAAAAAGAAATATGGCCGACAAAGACAGACAACAAGACAAGTGCGACTAGAAAAAAGCAAAAACAAAAAACAAAAAGAAGATGCGCGCGGGTGTAAATAGTTTTGCATGAAATAACACATACACCGGAGAAAAAAAAAACAGAAACAAAATTAACAAAAACTGTTTCATTTAATGCCAAGAAATATTATGACCATAAGACATTGGATAATGACTATTATCGGGTGCTGTTGTTAATAATGGTGAAAAATGATTATAATATGTTGATGATGATGTTGATTGATCATCATTTGAAAATAATTTACTAAATGGTTCAAATGAATTAAATAATGATGAAAGTAAATTTTCTTGAAATAATGCAGCAACACCAGCAGCTGCTGCTGATGAACATGATGGTGGAACATTATTTAATGTTAATGGTAAAGTATTTTTTATATCATGCATTAAATTTTCATTTGATTTATCATCTATTGATACATCAGATGATAATGGTTCAAGTAATGTAGCTATATCAGATGGTTGATAAACATTTGATATAGATTTTATTGATGATGGTGTATTTAATTCAGATGATGATGAAAAAATTCTATTCGTATTTGATGAATTTGTATCAAGAAATGGTGATAAATCAAGTTGATGATTTGATGATGAATTTGTTAAACTAAAAGTAATATATAGATTTAAATTATTAATAATCAATTTTAAAATTTAATATTTCATTTACCCATCAAATATTTGTTGATTATCATTTGATAATACTTCAGTATTATTTCCATTTGTATATGCCCCACCATATGAATTCGATGCATGATGATGCAAATATGGTTGTTGTTGCATAATTGACATTAAAGCAAGATTTTGATTAAATGTATGATGTGGTGATTGTGAATTAAGCGGTGATGGAAGTAATGGTGAAAGTATTTTTGGTGAATTATTTCCATAAAATTGATTATTAGAAGCCGATTGATGAGCTAATAATGTTGTCGGACGTGTACGAGGTGATGGTGGTGTTGAAATTTCAGCTAAATAAAAAAAAAAAAAGATTTTTTATAAAATTTTTTTATTTTTGTATTTAACATACAACCAAATGAACCAAGTTTTTGTGGTGTTGGTGATGATGACACTTGTTGTTGTCGTCGTCCAGATGCACGTGACCATTCAACAATAAGTCTTCGATCTTTCCATATAAATCCATTAAGTCCTAGTAAAGCTCGTTCAGCTTCTAAGAATGTTTTATATGTAATAAATGCATAATAATCCCATAAAATAACACAATCAATAACATGACCAAATGATGAAAATAAACGTTGTAAATCATTTGCTTTACAATTATCTGGTAAATTCGTACAATATAATTTTGGAATTTCACCATTAATACCAATGTCTAAAATTCAAAAAAAAAAAAAAAAAAAAAATTATTTATGTCAATTAAAAAAAAACAACAATAAGAATAGATTTGTTTTTTCTCATAACGGATGATACCTCAGTTTAATTTAACGAAAACTTGTTTTTTTTGCCATTATTTATTAGCAAAGGTGTCCAAAAGATTGCTCATCCCTGGTATCGAACCGTTATACAAGTTAGATAAATCCATTCAATTAGAATTACCTGTTTTTAGATTTTTATTTGATTTTATATGATTAGTTTTTAATGATGATGATGATGATGCTGTCATTTCATCAATAGGTATAGATGAATATTGTGAATAATAATTATTCATATCCTGAGATAATGGTGAGAGAGAACGATATAAATTTTGATTCTCTGATATAATAGGTGATGATGACTGTTGATGAAGACCATTTGATGTCATCATATCATAATTCGTTTCTGAATAAGTATATTGTTGAGTAAGTGGAGTTGACTGCTGTTGTTTTATTGTATTTGATCCTCCAGTAGGATTATGATAAATAATAGATGATGATGATGATGGAGCATTCATAATCATAAGTTTTTTAGGTGATTGAGGTATTGAAGTATTAGATTCTTTTGGTTGTGGTCGAAAACGAGATGTAGATAATTGAACAATTAATTTTCTATTAAGAAACATGGCACCATTAGATTGTTCAAGTGCACGACGAGCTATATTATTGAAAAAAAAAAGTAAAATATTTATTATTTCAAATAAATCAATTTACCTTCTTCCATTGTTGCATAATGGACAAATGCATATGAATTCCACATAACTACACAAAAGTAAAATAATTTATTATTCTCAGAAAAATTCAGTAGAAAATATTAACAAATAAAATTAATATAATGTATTTTCGTCGATGAAAAATTTGAAAAACAAAATAAACATTTTATTTCTAAATTAATCGATATTTAATTCTTACGTACATATATTCAGATTCTAAAAGGTAATTTCAAAAGAATTCTTTCTTAACCCTTTGAGTACGGGATTATTTTTCTATAGTAAAAAGGACGAGAGATGATTGATAGAGAAAGAGGTCCGATAAAAATTTTTGATTCGAAACCCTAACTATATTATACCAAACGAAAAACGTCAGTGAGTTGGGTACTTTTTGTGATGGAAACTGATCTTTTAAATGAAACCATGAAGAGTTCTAGATAAATTAACTTGTAAAATTTCAGTCATTTAAGGCCACCACCCCCCCCCCCCCACAAAAACACATCACCTCCGGCACACNTCTATTTGAAAATTTGAATCAAATATACACTTTAAAATAATTCTTCCGACACTATGACACATTACTTGCATTGGACATTTAAGTGAAGAAAAAATATTCTTCTAACTTTGATTATACCCTTCAATAGTCCGAAGTTTTTACTTGATTCCACGCAAAAAAGTTTCTTCTACAAAACTTTTTCGAAAAATTTTATAACATTTTTTGGAAACCATTCGCAGAAGAAATTTCTTTGTGTGGAATAAAGTAGAGACTTCGATCTATCGAATGGAATAATCAAATTCAGAAATTTTTTTTTTGTTCACTGTGAAATTTCCTGCACGAGTAATATATCACAGAGTGTCCAAATAATTATTTTACACAATGTATACGTTTTTATAGTTCTTTGATTTAGATACTTACTTTTACAAATAAAATAAGTGTTATTGAACATCATCAAATTATACTAATGAGGATTTTTTTAAAATTATTTCCCCCAGTTCATGTTAAATATCGCGATGTGTCTGTTGATATTAACACTGTTATTCTCCACAAGTAACGCTCGTCGACATGACTCGCTTGACCCTCTAATGAATATTCATCTACTTTTGAGCATAGTGAACTACTTCACAACCGTCCACAACACTAGCATCCAATTTTTTAAAAAGGGTCGGGTGCGCGTATGAATGTTCATATTCGCGTCAGTAAATTTGCACACGGTGATACACATGTTCTTGTGATTCTTTGTCTCGTTAATTGATACAATGGCATCGATACCCACGCACTAATACGTAACTGAAATTTTAAAAATAGCCATACTAACGCAACAATATTCACAGACACAATCTTCGGCAATGTCGATAAGGCAACTCGGCCTCCTCACTATCACTCTTTTTATTATTTTGTAGCTTTCCAAATATATCGAAGAAACAGATCATGTTCAATTGAATGAGAGGATCGCTAAGAAAGCAAATCAGTGAAACTAACACCAAATCTCATGATGAGCGTTGCAAATTGGACTAAACAGTTCATATGGTTTCTAGAATCTCAACGTTCCTTCCCATGTTCTAGCACCTCCGCTAGCAAAAATGATCTTTGATGAAATTCTACCTTAAAATAAATCATTCTCGATAATATCTATAATTGGAATACCTCAGATAGGTGACTCTACCTCTCACAGTACTCATGGGATTAGACTGTTACTATGAATATATCCCAAAGCATATCGACGTATGAGTGCACAGAGATAAGGACGAATATCAACTGAAAAGCTCGCTTGGTATGATCCAAGTCTGCTTCCAATTAAGCGAATCTGAATCCCTTGAGTGATGTTTCCTGTCAATTGCAGCATTCAGATATAGTACACGTGCACAAAAAAATGCTTTCACACTTGGAAAATGTTTTTCTTTTTTACACTTCTGATCACTTATGAAACCATCCGAATTTAGACCTTAGGCACTTTCCGTATGAATCCTAACGCCTTGAAGCGTTCATTCAGTGGATTTTACTGAGCAGCAGATAGTCGTTCGCTGGTGCCCCAATGGGGCGTCACTCGCGGCTAGTCGCTGCCATCCATGAGTCCACGCTCCAAATTGGTTACTCTTTTATTCATGACCTGACTGATCTAGGCTTAAAGTGATTCAAAAGCTTTCCCACTCGTAACTTAGGAGTTCTAGATTTTCTATTTCAAACAATCTTGTCACATACTGACTGTCGCTCAAATTTCTTAATCTTTGTAGAAATCCCGCTCTACATTAGTAGTCATTGATTGAATCTAAGTGGTACATTGTCAAGCACTGTTGCAGATGTTATCAAGGCATGTCTTAAAATATGTCTCGTGTTAACTTACTTTGGCAGCAGCTGGTCGTTTTCGGCGTCCCTTTGGAACGCCACTCACGGTTAGCCACTGCCATTCCTGAGTCCACGCTTCTAAATGACTAATTTTTTTTCTGAATAAAACGAAGTCTGTTTTTGAAACTTTCGACGAAAGTATTGAATTATTATGAGAAGATTTCTGATTGATATCGAAAAATTGTATGGCCCGGCAGTCAATATTCATCGGTAGAACACGTTGCACTTTTGTTGAATAAACTTAGGTATGCGCAAGCAACTCATAGTTGAACCTTAACAGAAAAGAACTATCGCGGACAGCAGAGGAAAATTCACAAATGTTTCTGATTCTCTTTCTACATCCAGATTATGATTGGGTGAAGGTTAAACAAAAGAAAATATTCCGCTAAATCTTCAGTCTCCGACAAACGCTTTTGGCCATGCATACAGGAAATACATATGGAACCCTCAAACTTACGAAAAACGACTAGTAATCCTCAAGTAGTTCGAAGCCAGAAAAATCGTTTCACAGGATCTCCAACGTGGCGAAGGCTAATCGCAGAACACTGCCATAATAAACGCACCTCATTCTTTAGAATCTTACCACAGAGAAAATCCTTAATATTATAGAGCTCCATGTTGAAAATATATCATTTACTTCATTTCCACCATGAAAAGCCTAGTTTCAACGAGAGTACATACCCTAAATGCTATCGCGACATACGATTAGTCTGATGTTCCATGAATCAATGCCAATAGGTGACTCTATATCCCGAGCATAAATACAAACACATGCGTACACTTCTTTAATTTCATATGGCCCTCCCTTCAATGGAGAGAAACGTCCTCATTTTCTCAAAAACCCTTTCCGTCACCAAAATACTTCAGTTCACAATTTTGAAAATCTGATTACAAATTCGGGTTTTCCGACCCCAAATCACTTTCGTCAACCTGTATAGAGGACTGTTACATATACGTGGACACGTGACTATACACGTGGCTGCAAACATACACACATACCAACAACCGTAATTTCTTTCATATGACCCTCCCTACAGTCGAGAGAATAATGATCTACAGGTCTCAAGAAAACTACTATCCAACGTTTGAAAAAAGACAACGTCTGAGTGTAAAAATTGATATGCACATCAATGTCGTTGTGCACGATAGTAGGGTGTGGGTGAAGGTAATATTGAAATCCTCGTATCTACACCCACTCTTGACTCGTCGCTTTTGTGTATTCTCGGGGCCATTCTTTTCTAAACCACTCACTTGTGCACTATGTGAAGCTCCTCAAGTTGAATTCTGCTCAAGAAATAGTATCTCAACTTTAAAGTGAATGTGCCTGTTTTTTTTGAAAGCGTTCTGCAGACACAGTAACTCTAGATACAATAAAACTTGTTGCGTTCATTTTCCATCTAGGGCCACCTGTGATCAAGTCTCATTCTAAAAAGTGTAGATTTTGATGACTTTACAGTTGTTACAATGCCCTATTTCTCTAAAAAATCACTTTTCATTTCATGAGCGTATATTACTTTCTAAATAATTGAAAAAAAAACAAGCATACAACCACTTTAATGCAAATGATCCTCTCTTTCAGAAAAGCGGGAACGAAATAAAGAATTTCATTGACTGAAGAAAAGCAAAGAACAAATATTATTGTCCACAGAAATCTGAGAAAGACCTCCAAATGGTATAAGAAAAACTAAGACTAAATCTTCTTGCTCGAAAAATATTTGACGAAGAATCTGCTATTCTGATTGGTCAGCTTCCTAGCTAATGGAAAGGCCGCATGCAAAATCTAATCTCACATTCAGAATCTTGACCCTCGATAACCTATAGTAAAGTTTTTGATCAAAAGTCGCAAAAAAAGCTTACATTAATAAAGCTCATTTCTGATTGGTCGGCTTTCTAGTCAATGAGAAGATCGGATGTAAAAAGGTGTGGGTGGGGATGTCAGAGTTTGTTTCGGGTACGCCCACATCCACCACACCCACACCTTGCTCTAGTAAACGATTTAATTATCAAAGGTGAAGATGAATATTGACACTTATTAAGTTATTGATCAATATTGATTGAAATATTCTCATTATCCGATACTTTTTCTAGATTTATGACTGTATTTTGGTTCGTATGCTTGTTTCATGTCTTATTTTATAATTGATAATCGAGTTAGTTTTTAGAAGCACTAAAAGAATAGAAAGTATGAAAGAAAAATGATGATGGCAACAAGTAATTGCACGTTACTTTTCATTTCGACTATTTCGATGCTAATGAATTAAGACAAAACAGGCAGAGAAGCCATTAGTGATATATAGTTTATTTTCTTTTGTGTAAAAAAGAAAAAAACTTACGGTCATCGATTCATTTTCATCTCTACATCCATACTCTACTTTAAAATATGTAACTGGAAGTGTTCTTTATTGATGGCATTCTTACTAAATGTTCTTTTTTTATTCAGGTGAATGACAGATGTATTTATTTTTCTTGTCTTTTTCCTATGTAAACACATTCTTCACATCATTCTTCTTAATAAAGCAATGCTCTTTTAAGAAAAAGAAAGAAATATTCTAAAAACTATGCATACGATCTGTGTTAAAACCCAACATAATTCTGTCAATAATATATAAATACAACCGTATATACAAAGAGAAGCTTGAACTCTACTTATTTTCATAATAGATTTATTATTTTGTATGAGTGAATTTGAAATACAAAGAACGCAGC